TGAGGCACTCATTAATAGTGAAATTGATATAGCTGTCCACTCAATGAAAGATGTTCCCACTTATCTTCCTGATAAGACAATATTACCTTGCAATCTTCCACGTGAGGATGTCCGGGATGCATTTATTTGTTTGACCGCAGCTTCATTGGCTGAGCTTCCAGCTGGAAGCACTGTGGGCACTGCTTCACTAAGAAGGAAGTCCCAAATACTCCACAGATATCCATCACTAAATGTGAGCATGTTATGCTATAGAAAATCATCTTGCTTTCTTGTTATATAGTAAATTGACTTATTCATTATGTGTTAGAAAATCCATAATGTCCTCAGTCTGTATCAGTGTCAAACCCAAATCAGGTATTAATGTTTTTGCCCTGTTTGAGCCCCAAATTTGGAGAAAAATAGATTTTGGAATAGTGATTTTTTGGAGAATGTGTGATTAAAAAAATAGGGAAAAGTTTTGGGTTTACATGTAAAATTATTGAATGGGATAATGCGGGGTAGAAAATGAGTTTTGGGAAAAATGAGTTTTGGGAAAAATGGAGCTCAAACATAAGTTTTATAGTTCAGTCAACAGGTGGGCATGTCACAAAGACGCCAGGGATGCTCCTAATCTGTTTGCCACGGACAGAGACTCATCGAAGACATTTTTAAGAACAATTGTTATTTACATAAATTTTGAAATGAAGAATTTTGCCAAAACTAATTTGTTATACTTTAAGAATTTCCTATTTCCTTTTTCTTTTAATTTCTCTACAAAATTTCTCCTTTCATTTCTTGCAGTTCTACCAATGCTGTTAAGATCTCTCAGTTGATTATATCTATGGTTATTTGATTTGTCTACAACACGTACATGTCCTACGTTTTTGTGAATGTCACATTCTCTGACATGTATCAGGCTATATTTGTAACGTATCTCAAATACGAATGGATCAAGCTACTTGTGAAATTCTCTTGTAACATAACATCTCTCAAGGACATGAGTATGCACCTTGTTAGGTATAAAGGCTTGACAAAATTTTACATTTCTCGAGTTAAAGTTCCCTATTGATAGGTAAGTTCACATGGAGTTGGCAGGTTCATTTCAAAGATTCTTTTAAAGTTGCAATTACACGATACAAGGTGGATGCTGAATATGAGTACGGCCTGTCCTCTCTGGCTTGCTTGAAATGGCTTTTCAGTCAGCATTATTTACTCTTCAAAAATCTTGGATGGCTGTTTATGCTGTCTCATTCTGCTTCACTGCTATGTTTTCTTACTCCAATTTATTTATAGGTGCTGGAGAACTTTCGAGGCAATGTACAAACAAGATTAAGAAAATTAAAGGAGGGAGTTGTCCAAGCAACATTATTGGCATTAGCCGGGCTCAAACGCCTCAACATGACAGAAAATGTTACTGCTGTTCTATCTATTGATGATATGCTTCCAGCTGTTGCTCAAGGAGCTATTGGGATTGCCTGTAGAAGTGATGATGAAAAGATGGTATGTGCTACTCTGCACAATCTCTGATTTGTTTTTTTTTTTTTTCCTAAATATCTTCATCCTGATCTCTTTTGGTTCCACTTTCCCAATCTTTGGATTTACGTAGGAGAGTTTTGGTTCCGTATCATGCCAAAGAATACAAATTGATACTTCCACACTTGAATTTTTTCTGGTTTGTTCAAACCATTCACGTATATAAACCTGTCGAAGGCTTCTGTTATATAGGAGCAACAATATTCCCCACCCAGTACTTCCCTATCTTCCGTTGCACATATTCAATTGAGATTACCTTCTCATTTTCTGTAGCTAAAGGGCATGTTTATGAAAGTTAAAGGAAGTTAGCGTGGTCATAAATTTTGGGTGAAGCTCGAGTTTATATTCAATCTAATCTGGTTCTAAAAAGTGGTTATTTATTGCACATTACAACTGATGTGCCACACGATCAAGCCAAACATTTGTCGAATTCTGCTACGAGCATACCCTCTAACTGGGAAGTTGCTGGTTTTCCTTGTCATTTTCTTATTATTTCTACTCACATATACGTGTTTGGTTATGTGTGTGTACCATTCAAGAATTCTTGTCTATCTTCAGGAAAAAAAAGGTTACTCATGCCTCTCTTCATCGTCCAGTTATTTTCTCTAATTCAAATGTTTCTTCTGCAGGCTAATTACTTAGCGTCCCTGAATCACGAGGACACCAGATTAGCAGTTTCATGTGAGAGAGCTTTTCTAGAGAAATTGGAGGGTTCTTGTCGAACTCCAATTGCAGGATACGCTCGTAGGGACGAGGATGGAAATTGTATTTTTAAAGCATTGGTGGCATCTCCAGATGGAACCCGAGGTATGTCAACGGTAACTTCGAGGGATAGGAAAGACAAATGAAAATTTAGTATACCGCTGTTTTAACGTATATTTCTCGTGTTCAACCCTTCAGTACTGGAAACCTCTCGAAAAGGCCCATATGCTTTTGCAGACATGATAATGATGGGCAAGGATGCTGGCGAGGAACTTCTCTCACAGGCCGGTCCGGGTTTCTTTAACCAATAAGTAGCTGAATGATGGATGGGGAGAAATTCTAGCCTCTACGATTAACAACTAGGTCATTCATTCTTCTTATTGTAATTCTAGCGGGAAATAGATTTTGAAAGCATGCCTGATCAAAATGAGAAGGATATTTAATTTCTTTTTTAAGAGTATCATTTTTTTAAGAAATAACTCTCCCTCTCATATCAAGACACAACCAAAATAGAATGATTATAAACAATCTATGATTGGTCTGATCAATTTTTAGCATGTTTGGTGAAACTCACAAATACTATTCACTTATTCACCACTAATTTCTATTTGTTTATAATTTAAACCGTTCATAAATACTCTCCAAAGAAGTTTTGGAAATGCACATGTCCATGTAGTTGTTCTGGCTAATGAATGGGCCGCTACATCTTTGAATTGTTTATGTTCAAAACTCATGATTTGGGAAATATGGACTTGGCCGAAGTCTGTCAAAGAACAAATTCCCAATGAAATAAACAAACATGCTTTTAGATGATTCAACCTTGTGATGTTTTCGAGTCTTGTAGCCTTCCTCGATAAAAAGCAGAGCAGCTTTCAAGGTCTCGTGACTTCTCCGGGGTAGTTCACACCGTCTTCACTTGAGTCACACGAAACCAAACTACCAAGCATGAACTTATTATAGACAGCACTTCCTCCCAAACCAAGTCTATATGCGAGTTAACTCACTTAAAATCAATTAATCAGGTAAGAGCTGAACGAGAGAGTCCGGCTTAGCTGTAGTCGCAAAAGAAATGACAGTCGATTGACACACTATCTTAAATAACTAAAGTAGCACTTAGGTTGGGAAGTGATTGGGCTGTGCCCTGTGATTCACTTCATACATTTTCAGTGCCATGGAGTTAAACCGTGAATGATTTAACAATGATTTATACTGTCAAGTTTCTGGGAAACTATATCCGAACCGAGGAACCACTCCGTTCAGATTGCAAAATAGGCATATCGGTCGCATATGCAACCCACCAAGTTTTCAGCATATCATTTTCAAGGATTTGTTGTTACAAACTCGCACATTCTAACCAACTATTAATGCATTCAAGTTATATAGTCCTATTTCGTGACCAATTCACATCAAATATAGAAAAAATAGAAAAGCCTGAGGAATATTTGCACATTTCCGTGTGCAAATACAAAATTCAAGCCAGATGCTGATGCACAGCAAATATTAATATTGAAACAATTATGAGAAAATAGTTCTAGTCATAATTTATAGAGCAAATTGATGACATCGCAATCCATACAAGGCATCTTTAAAACAATTATAGCAACAAGATTCTGGCTACATGCAAGAGACATTATTGATGCATTTGGCAGCACGGCATTGAGCCTGAGAATTAAAAAGCTATCCATTCAAATTTTGAGTTATTTTACAAATTTTTCAATCCTACAGAATCAAAGAAAATCACATGCCCCACTGGAACTGATTGTTAGATGCCTATTTTAGACTGCGACAATATGAATAAGATATAAATTAATCTATACTGATTAACTAACACAAACCCAAAAAGAAATTAAATTCAGATACCGACAAGTCTGAACCAAAGACGTTCTGAAAAATTATGAAACTTCAACTATCAAAATTAATAGAAATATAGATATAATCCCTATGAATCCAAAAACCAATTTTTTCAAACTGATAATCATAGGATTTCATCGAATTTCATAGGATTTCTCAATGATATTTGGTTAACTAAATGATAATCATAGAGATGAAGTGCAAACAACAAATTGATTATACACAAACCTATCTAGCAGAACTAGCCTACATGTTACTGAAACTGTTTTGATGCGACTAGGCAAAAGAATCTTTATCAATGCCGTATACTCCAAACCACGATAAAACTGGAATTTACAAAATTCCCAAAATTTACAAGTACTCCAAATTCACAAATTTCAAGTCTCAATTGTCATACCCCTATACCAAGCACAAGTTCATAGAAATGCATATTCGATAACTCTGCTACACAAAGATGAAGTTTTTCAATATATATCTACAGTTAAGAAATGGAGATAAAACCAACCCACACGCACAAAAATATAATTACAAGCAAAATGCAAGTGCATACAGTATATGGAATATAACATGGTTATTCATTGACATCTTCAATAATCAACGTGGATACAATCACTCAATACTAGTTTGAAACAAGAAGAATAAAGTTCATGACCATTGAATCAATTCGAACTAATCATGTCCACCTGATCAATGCATTTTACCAACTGCATGAATCATAATCTTTACTAAAATTCAATCCAAATAAGTATAGTAAAAGACCCCACAAGCATTAACCAAAGCTATATTTGATAAAAATCATAACCAAAATAAGATCACTTAATCAATAGCAAAAACTAGAGAACTTCACCAGTCAAAATATCTAGCAATACAATCCAAATTAAACACCACAATTCTCCCAAATAACAAAAATCACATTATTTTATAAATTTTTCACCTCAGAATCTGAGCTTAGAGAAAAACCATCTATTCTTGCCCGTCTTAAACCTCTCTTCCAACCTGGCTTTGATCTCCTTGCTAGCTGTCACCTTCTTGTCACGCGAGACGAGTGAGTCAGTAGTGACGATGTCCTTGAGATCGACGTCGAGCGTGTAGCGCGTAGGCATAATGTGGTTATAGTTGACGACCTTGACAAATGCCTTCACGCGCGACTTTTTTGCCTGCTTTTTGGCGGAATCCTTGCGGATAACCTTGCTAGGGTACTTTGCAATGCCGGCGACCAGGCAATGGCCATAGGGGCGGTCGCGGGTGCCGTCATCGAAGTTCTTCACAATAGTGGCCTTGTGGCCGGCGAATCGCCCCTGCAGGAGGACCACCGCCTTATTCGGTTTCAAGAACTTCACCATTTTCGTTGAGCACCGCGTGTCGATTAGGGTTTTGTGTTGCTCTTCGTTGACATATATTGGGAGGATGAAAGTTGTAGGTAAATCCTTAGGTTACAAATGTGGGCTTTTTAGGTTACAAATGTGGGCTTTTTACGCATTTGGGCTTTGTTGAAATGTTTTCAATGGGCCTTGGAATCCGATCCTCCAACATTTTCATCGTATTTTTATGATTCAACTATTTTTTATTTAAATTTGGATAATGGAAAAATAAAAATACACATTTAAGACTGTTTAGAGAGTTTTATAATCATTTAAAGTTAAAGAGTTAATTAATTGAAATGATAGGCAAATGAAAATTACACAATTTGGTAACACATCCACAACAATAATCAGACATGTTACTCTACATCACTTTAGACAAGTCGTCAAGACGACATTCTCATATGGCCACAGGCGGATCCAAGGTGGGTCACGTGACCCACCAATTTTCTAAAAGTTGATTTTATTTCATTACTTTTGAGGCATGATATCTTATTAATTATCACCTTTCGCTCTATACATGAAAGCACCGTTTTGATGGAACATGTAGTTTTGTGTAATATATGCTTTTTTTTCATAGCCATTTGGTCAAGTACTGCATATAGATCCAGGAATATATGATTTATTAGCAATATTTGCTCCGTTTAGAATTTTTTTTTATTTTTAAAACTGAACGTATTTAGATTAAAAGTTTACCTCTTGATATCTTTTGAAATCATGTTAGAAGTTTATCGAAGTTTATTACGAATGTTAAAGATGATACATTGAACATTGGTAGCCTATTTACCATTGATTCTAGAAGAAAGATTATGAATCTATTATATTAATAGAATTCATAATACACTTAAAATATATTAGATCTGAAGTGCATAAATTCATCTATAATGTTACACGAATTATATGTTGCATTCGTGTGTGCGCATTAAATAGAATACTCTCTGTACAATAATAAATTTCTATTGAGAAAAAGATTGAAACAATTCTAAGAGAATGTACGCAGAATAAAAAATATTTTGTTCAAGAAAATAAACTGTCTTGGAGCGTTTTTGTGAACGTGCCATTTGTTTTCTACGAAATGGCATCCGAGCTTTGATAAAAAAAATTACTAGAGATGACACCAAACAATATGTGGCAACAAAACTTACTAATTTTAGCAGGATGGGTTGCAGTCAATGAAGTCAACAAAACTTCCTAATTGAACTTGTAGAAAATAAATGTAATAAAATATCGAATGCTTTAATATTTTCACAACGTTTTTGCAAGTTTGATTGTGCCCTCTTAACTCAAGACGTCTGCATCCCCCACCGCATATGGCTATCTTGAAGACAACATCGGTATGATTCATCCAAACAAGTTATCATGATGCACAACACAAAAAATATTTCGTCACTTCTCAAAATTTATGCATTTACAGATATTTTATTTCTGGATACTGGAACATAAATTTCTTATGTTACATACTATCATATGGGGAGAAAATCGCAAACCAAGAAACTAGCATCTTTGTAAGAGACAAAATTTCGGTAAAGCAGGTTTGAACTGGTTCATAAGTACGCTATGAGTCCTATGACAGACCAAGAGAGCAATATGGTCTCTCTGAAAATACATTCCTGCAAAACAGACCACAACACAAATGAGCATATTTTAAGGAGGAGATCTAAGATGAAAGATAACCATCTTCTACAAATGACAAATGATGGACGCAGTAACATTTTGTTTGTATTGCATTGAGTTAGCTCGGATTTACTGAAGGATAAATTACTGATCTGAAAGTTAGTCCCCTGTTCATCTACCATTATTCTAAAAAATTGTTTGTTACGGTAAGATTTTCCACCACACATTCACCCAATAAAATATTCTACACACAAATCAATAAAGTTACTTTACTTTTCAATCACATATTCTCCAAAAAATACTATTCATTACTCTATTTTTCTCCCAATAATGGGAGACAAACACACCCTAGATGAACTCCAGATAGTCAAAGAGTTGGTCAACACTATGATCTAATGGAGACGCTCTTCGGTGAAATTGGGCAACTCATTAATATGTTATACAAGCAGGCCATCCCAAACATAGGCAAGAAAGTTTAGAGTACTTCCACATTTTATAATGCTGGTTAGAATAAGCAGAAGGTATTTTCAGGAGTTCAATTAGACTCGAATGATTATAAATTCGTTAAAGCTTGAACTGTGCGCTATATTCACTTGGACATCCTCCCCCTTACAAGTCGGCTTCAAGGGTGAGTTGTAACCAATGTTGTTTTAACAGCAGGTATTGAAGCAAGCACACTACTAGGAATTACCCTTTTTAGAAGACTAGCTTTGGGAAGTCATCAAGCTGGGAATATGTGCTGTCATGGTGGTCTTTTATGAAAGAATGAATAAACTGTAACAACTCTAAATGCGCTATGCAAGGGTTGGCTTGTGGGGACATGATGACCATCACCTCAGAAACCAGTTTTAAGGGTGACTTTCACCGATGTAGTTGTAACATGGGCTAGAATTTTCTGTTTTCATACTCTTGTTCTAAAATGTGCATCTCCAGCACTTTATTTTGGTGAATGTCCTTGGATGTCTACTTTTCCTTTTGGTTATAAATGGGGCCTCTTTATAACAGAAGATTAGACAGAAAGTATTATGTATAAGGAGACTGGCAGCGCCTGTGATAAAGGTAAGCATTCACAAAGTTAAAAATATAGAAGTCAGTGGATTAATTATAGAAACTGAAAGGGATAGTAAAGGGGACTTACAAGTGCAGGTAGAAGTCTGTTAATTCGGCTGTCCAAATCCAATTAAACTTTATTCCATATCATTTGTTGCGGACCAACCAGGTTCATATGTTTCAAGAAATCCAATCTTTGCCTTGTTAGGAAGATCATGTGGGTGAACAAATGGAACTCCTGGCGGCCATCCAATCTCCATTCTTATATTTGCACAAGGGCTGTCTAGTGAATGGACATGATTTTCACACTCCTTCAGGGTGCAGAACCTCAATTTGATACCCTTCTTATCAGCAATATCTTGAACCCTCTCTTTCAGAACTCTTTGTGCCTCAAGTCGCAGTCTCTTCGAAGGTGGAAGAGGTTTACAACTTGAATTACTCCTCTTCTTCCTCATGACGGGTTTCACTGATCCTGTACCAGCATTTCATTGATCCAAGGGCCTGTTGTTAAAAACTTCTAAGGGCTACTAGTATATTAGCCAAATGAAAGAAAACCTTTTGCAGTGTTTCAGCAGGAAACATCATATAATGATTATGAACCCGTGATTTCTCAAAGTTAAAAATGGAAAAGGTCAATATGACAGCATTCGTGCCAAGGACACAAATAATATTGCTGATTCACATGAATGGTTAAATTGCAGATCATATGAATGGTAATGAGTGTGGGAGGCTATAGCACTTCAAGGTAAAATTATATTAATCTGGTAAAATAGCAACCAAAACTAGAAGTCCTTTCTTCCCACAAATATTCCTCTTCATTTTTTGTTTCTTAATAGATGCTCTCCCATTCGTAACATATAGTCAACATACTAGGATAAATAAATAAGACAATGTATTCAGTGCAATGATAAATTAACTTCATAGGATTAATTCTCTAAGTGACTGAAAGAAAAAAAGTATCAGGAATACTTACCATCTTGGGCGGTTGGGTAACTGAATGTCGAAAAATTATTCCCATTAAGAAGTTGGTCAGTGGATCTCTGCATAAAGTCGTCGACTGATACAGGAAGCTGGAATTGAGCTTCCACCCCATGCCCAGCTGCCCTCATCTCTGAACAATTGAGACTGGTCATGGATTTTGGCATGAGTTTGAATGCCAGAGAACAACGCCCATACATAGAACCCTGCAGATTACTGATATCAATACGATGCATTGCAGGGTTGATGTAGCCCGCAGTTGCCTGGTACAAAGCAAGCCCAGGATAAATAATTGCTTCTTGGGGTCCAAGATCGCCGTCCACCGGGACCCAATGACCATGAAAGTCTCTTACATGCAAGCCTGCCCGATCTGACTTTACAAGAGTTATAAGGCTTCTGTCAACCTGATGTTCATGGTCTGAGAACATTACTAATTCGCCATCTTCTTGAGTCGTTAAATTATGTTGCTGTGCACCCTGAAAAGATGGTCTCCCATGGCAAAAAACAGACAACACTGACGACGAGATTTCCCGATTTCTAAGAGGCATGTTATCAAGTATTTCACTGAAAGGCGAACTACGCAGATTCAAATAAAAGCCGATGGCATCTAATATGTCCCTACACGCTTTCCCAAGCAGTGAAAATATGTCCACTAAACCAGCTGGAGGGATTTCCATTTCATTATTAGGTTCTGTAATAGTAAGCCCAGGTCTAAAATCAAAAATCTCTTGCCACATTTGAGGGTCTGCACGGTAACCAGATGTCTTGCACCATTCATGGAAGTCATCGGGATGAATAATATCTGCAGGAGGGTAAGGTGGTTTTTGATGGAAGTAGAGACGAGATGATTCCAAACAAGACCTCAAAAGGGCCCCATCATTCACGGGTAATTGGATAATGGCAGCAGAATACTGAGCTAGAGATTGGGACAAAGTTGAAACTGACAATTTGTATGAGTCCGAAGGAAGGCCTTCACATGGTATGAGATCAACGAGTTTTACACGGCCTAATGTTGACAGGCCATTGCCTGCCATTGAATCTTGCAGAGATACCGAGTGTGCTAATGAGCAAACTACCAAATTCGTTCCTTTTGTTGGCTGCAAACATTATATATACATCAATAGCAAAGTAATAGGCTAAGGCCTATGAAGACCGACCACAACATAAATAGTAGACATATTAAAAATAGAGGTTAGGCTATGCATTTTTCAATTCCACTAGCGCAAGTAGCAAATCAATGTAACTTATAACACTGACCAAAAGAATTTCTTCTTCAAGAAAAAAATAATCTCATTGAGAAATTACCACAACCCGTCCTGCAAAAATAAAACATTAATTCTTCTTTTCAATTTACTTCCAAAAGTGACATAATTACTTTCTAATTTCCCTTCTAATTCCGAACTTTTGCAGCTCCGACAGAATTTTAAACGCAATGCATTAAGAGTCCAAACCGATATAATTTCCATTTTCCACAATCCAAACTTCAAATTTTTTTAGTTCGTTTCATCACTAACAACACTCCCTGTACAATTAAGTAATTTAACACTATAACATATACATAATTTGCATATCTCGTAAGACCTGAGAAATCTCATTCCATCTGTGTATACGTGAAAAACATATCAAATGCGTAGAATATTTTACATAGAGATAATTTAAAGGTAAAATTACCTTCAAAAGCTTCAAGTTGGAGAAGCTAGGGTTTATGGAGAATCTGCATCCGACAATTGATCGAGAAAAACAAAGACAGCAGAGTTTAAATTACAGAAAAAATAAAATTATACACTAATTGGCAAGAGTTAAAAATCCACTTGATCCTGGCTTGCTTGATTCTGTTCTTCTCCTTCTTACTGGAGTGATAAAGAAAATATATATATATATATATTTATATTTTTGCTTCCTTTTTTATGTTAGTCCTGGTTAATTTACAGAACATCATCATTAATGGAAAGAATTAGCGGGCCGAATCCATATAGGCACGCAAGGATTATGGATAAGAGAAATGCAGGCCCACAGATAGATGATGGGCCAGATCCTACACTTAGGGTCCATTTGACAAACTTACATTACCCACTTATAAGAGCTTTCAAAAAAATTTACATCAAGAATGTATTCGGTAAAGATTAAAAGCGGATTAAAATTGAAAAATTAGCCGTTATTGTTGACTTTTATTAGACGAGTAGGATTTAATAACGACTATATTTTCAATTTTAATTAAATTTTAATAACTCTCAAACCAATTTTCTCTAAAAACTCTTCTAACTATTTAAATAAATAACTTTTAAAAAATTATTTAAAACTGTTAAAAAATGCTTTTTAATCTCGAAAGCAACTTTTGATTTCTCAAAATTTTGTCTTCTCTTAGTATCTCACAATACTTTGTTCAACTCTCGATTTTTCAAAAACTTCATCTATCCTTATCATGTCATAATACTTTGTGTCATCTGTCTTCACTGATGATCGCTTGTCATCTATTGTATCAAAATGTTCATCACTACTTCGAACAACGATTCGAGGATTATTGTCACTTTTAACTGATAATAATCAATGATGATGGATAATATTACTCTTTTCCCAATTTTCACGTGTTTTTACTTAAATTTGGCGAATTTGCATGTGATCCTCAAACTTTGACAAATAGAATATTTGGTCAATGATAAATAACATCACATGTCAAAAAATGTAATAGAGACGGAAAACACGAGTCCATGACAAACCCAAATTCTTCATAAGCAAACTTACCGCTGAGAGCTAGCAGGTATGCGGTGGTTTTCATCAAGTATTAGACAGGAGACAGCTCGGTAAGACTAAATAGAAGGTAACGTTTAGTCCTCCAAAATCTCATACCAATTAGTTTACAGCAATGTTTAGAATATTAACTAGACAAATGCATCAACCATGAAGTACCATCTAGGAATATCGGCTCATGCAATTGTACTGAGATCTGAGACAGTGACCAAATTGCGTGCATCAGAATTCTCTCCGTTGCAAGAACTGACCCCTAAGTTAAGGCTTACGGGGTGGTGAACTGCTGCTGCTGCTATTACTGGGGCTCCTTCCTCTCATCGGCCTGAAACAAATTAGACAAGAAATGAGTAAGACAAAGCAACAAGCAATTCTCAAATAGAAAGACCCCAAAATTTTAAAATTTCTTTGATCACTAGCATAATTAAAATAAATGAAACCTGTTTAGCTTTCATAAAACAGAAACTTTCAGCGTAGTTTATGTTAAATGTGGTCCGTTCTTGGTGAAGAAAAATCATTCATAGCAAAAGATTTCACCGGGACATGTATGAGAAAACTCACCTTCTTGGACTGCGGCTCCTTGGTACCCTCCGTGGAGCCTGAAAACAATTCATAAGATGGAGCTGCAATTAGATACTGAACCAAAAGAATTTTTTGATAAAAGTGAATATTTAGAGACACAAACCCTGCGTGGGCTAGGCGATGAAGAGTAGGATGATGATCTACCACGTCTGGCAGGTGGTGGTCCACGCCCTCTGCAAGGATGAATACAACATATGCATGAGAAGTCATGACATAAGAAGGCATTATAGATACCACAGATTTTTGGAGAAATCGATCAGAAATCGAAAATGAAGAAATGCCATTTCAGACTAAGTATGAGCACATCACAGCCATATCATGTTTGAAGCTTTCATAAAATTGTTTTACTAGTGTTCTAAAACTACAGCAATGAACTCTTTCTTGCAAGAAATGGGCATACAACCAGCAGAGAAAAGAAACTATAAGATGAATAGACATTTTCTTTTTTTAAAAAAAAAAGGAAAAAAGAAAAAAAAAACATCGCCCCAAGTTATGAAAGTAAGAAACAATGTATTTATATATTACCTTCTTGGAGATACCGATCTTGATCTTGAACGAGCTGGCCTCCTAATAGGAGGGGAGCGGCTACGTCGACGGCTAATTGGAGACCTTCTTGGTGGACTTCGAGCACGTCGTGGAGAACTATAAATGAACATTCCCACGATTACAGAGGACCAACCAAAACACAGTAGGAGGCATGATGCAAAATTGATAACACAACTATAGTTGTTTCAAGAAAATAAATTGAATATAACGAAAACCACAAAACGCATAATCAATGTTACTCAAAAGTTATGGAAAGGCTTATTCCCATCAACAAAGTATATGGCTGACAATAAATCAAATAGAACATGCTCTACTACCTGAAAAGGAAATTTCTCTAATCTCCAATTATTTTCTTTTCAGTTTCTAGGATTGACCACGTCTAAACAACCCAAAAACCCTTAACACTCTGGGTTCCTAGACTCCTCTTCTAGCCTCTTAAATTTTCAGCAATTACAATGACACCTAGCTCTATTATATGGATCGCAGATAACCCCTAATAGCCTAAGTAATGGATTCTAACACTTCAACCACTAAAAATCCTAGACAAGTAGAAAAATGTTCTAGGGTCTTGTTAGCCATCCATCAGCCATCCTAATAACTTCTAGTTCCCATATTTCCTGATCTTTGCAGCACTAAAACTAACAAAGAGAGTCACGGAACCCTATGTCCTTCGAATGCTAGACTTTGTCTGCCATCAAACCTTTTAATGAAAGACCCACATTCTTGTCCTGTACATAATAATAAATGAATGTTCCTCAAGAGTAATTGAAAAACATATTTACATGAACAAAGCTTACAGCAGTTAATACATCAAATCAGATAACATATTCTATTACCTAACGTAAGAAATTCTCAATAAAATATCTAAAAGGAATACTGGTGGTGATGAGATCGTGACAAGCAGTTAGCATACCGTCGCCTTGGAGGAAGTGGAGATCGTCGTCGAACAGGGCTACCACGTACCCTGCGGGGAGATGCCCTATTCAAAATTAGACATGTCAGAAGCTTCCACTAATAAATAAAAATAAGTTAATGCAAACAATTAAATGAGAGAATATTTGAAAGACCCAAACCTGGGAGGTGATCGATAACGCCTTGGTGGAGAGGAGGGAGAACGGCCTCTGGCAGGAGATGCAGGCCTCCTTCTAAGAGGTGGTGAGTCACCCCGTCGATAAGCAGTATCTACTCGGCGGCGAACTGGAGAATCTGGGCGTCGGCGAGGAGGAGAATCTGGTTCCCGTCTGGGAGAACCTCTGCGTGCTATAGGAGATCTTCGAGGTGGAGAAAGAGGTTTGCGCCGAGGAGATGCTGATAATATTGAGGAAATTTGCTAAAACAAATACCGGCAACAGAAGGAAGAATAAAATACTGTTCGATATTAGGCATACAGAATGAGCATACCTTCTCTAGGTCGTTTTAGACCATCTCTGTCAGCATCTGCAGCAACATCATCAGCTTTAGGGGCATCTCTCCTCGAAGTAGTAGCAACAGCTTTAGGGGGCGAAGAAGCCTTCTTCCGTTCAGGTAATGTAAACTTGGCTCGAACAACTTTCCCATCAATTTGGGCCTGCATTAACACCAGTGAAAGCAAATTGATTTTCACTACAATAAAGAAGTATAAATGATCGTTACAGTGAAGCATCTTGAAGAAATCATACGCCGTCCATATATAACAGGGCTTTCTCGGCATCAGCCCTACTCTTGAACTCAATGTATGCAAATCCTTTTGGAAGGTTAACCTGCAACAAAGCAACGGTTTATCAAATGCAATATTTTAAACATAAAAAATGGTTCGACACCTTCACAAAATGGGAATTCAAAAACTTACGACGTGATCAATTGCCAGCCGTACATTGACAATTTCACCGAAATTACCTACAAGAGAGGGAGCTAGATAAAGGAAATGAAACACAACGTGCCTAAAGGCACGAATAAGAAAAGAACCAGAAAAGCCGCCTATTAGTTTTCGAATGAAAAGAAAATTTGTCTATCCCACCAACTAATTACCAGTCTAGTTCACTAGCTCCAGGATAACTGTTCTAACCTAGCACAATCAGTATGTAACAGAAGCTTCCAATCTACCAGAATTCAGCTGTTCAAAAAGAAGTAAGCCTACCAAATATTTCTTTTAGGTGATTTTCATTTACATTTCTACTGAGCTGATCGACATGAAGTACAAGTGACTCAGGAATTGGAGAAGATTTCCTGGAAACACAGAACGAAATAAGCATAATAAAAACATCCATGAAAGTTAGCAATCAGAAATAACAGCAGAATCAGAAAAAAATAAAACTAAGCCGTGGAGAAATAATACAAGAGTTTAAGAGGACAAATTCAGCTGCAGACAAAAGTGACTACAAAATAAGCAGCACATAAACAACTTAAAAGTGAATATGCAATCTAAAATTAAATGATAGAACTTGAACCCATTTAATATACTTTATATGCGGAGCTTACAACGAAAGATAACTTAAATAGTTCGTATGTTTTAGATAGATTTGAAATTGTGGTGCAAACAAGGTTAGTTATCATTCATATATATCCAGAAGTAGTAGTAGTAATAATAATATAGGTATCAATTCCATAAAAACTCCATGCTGACAGTGATTTGAAATTTATCGTAGTTTTGGAAGAGGGATGTCTAAAATGGTAAACAGAACAACAATAAAAGAGATCGAGAATAACAATGCCAGCTTTAAAAATGTGGGATTGTTAATTTAAGAAGTTTTATACTTGAAATCTGGTTCAATTGAAAATTTCGAACATAATGTCACCTCGGTGGTGGAGAAGCTTTCTTAGATAGTGGTGGTGGAGAGCGACCTCGCTTAGCTTGTTCAACAGGACTGTGAAATATCACAATGACGAGAAGGTTATAGTCAATATTACATTGGTCAATAACAACGATAAGAACAACTATCCATAAATCATTTCAACTAAAATACCCACAAAAAGGATGCACAGAAGAACAGAGGTAAAGACAAACAAAATCAACATACTAAGCCACTTTTCGTCCTAGTAACAAAAATATTTGACACAGTTATAAGATTCAGCACCAAAAAATCCAATAAGTAGGTATGTCCATGAGGGTGTTATGAGTGAAGATGTGCACTTTTGTTGGCAAAATCTAATTTTACGAATAATAAGTTTGGCCCATCCCCACTGATTGATACTTCCCAATTCCAAATTAATTTAGTCGTACATAAATTAGGCCCTATGAAGAACATGGAAAAGAAATCTGCATTGAATTTTCTGACGTACTATACAGTCTAGGCTAATTTCCAAATATAAAATCAGACAAAAATTCAATTTTCCCTCATAACAACATAAAGGATTACGTAATTTATCTTTTTGCTTGACACTAACCAAGTATATTATCAAACAACGTCAATTGAACTCCAAAATTACAGCATTTTGAATAAAAATAAAGCATACATACGTAGTAAATAAAATCTAGTATACAAAAGGTTAAACCTTTTTCTCTGAGGAGGGGGGCTAGCGCTGCGAGAGCTGACGCTACGAGAACGAGAGGAAGAAGTGAATGATTTGGAGCGGGAGCGTGAACGGGGACGGGATCGGGACCTGGAGCGTGAGCTTGAGGAGCGCGAGCGTGAAGTTGAAGGAGAGCGAGAAATCGAACGTGAACGAGAAATTGAGCGGGAAGAGGAACCTGAAGGTGAAGCCGGACGCCCTCGGCCTGGTTTCGCCATGGGTGATTTAGAGAGGATTATTCAGTGCAAAGAGTGGGTGAATTGAAACCCCTCGGATAAACCCTAATCAGAACGAGAAATGCACGAGAGAACGAGGGGTTGGTATTGAGCTGTGCGCTGTAAAAATGGTGCTATTTTATTGGACAAAAGAGGTAATGGGCTGTCAAGCTATTTGGGCGGGCCGTATTAGAAGTTAGGCTTGGAGTTTTCCGTTAAATAGGATATAACCTGGCCTAACTATGGTAAAAAATGTGAAAAGTTTATGGGTTAGGTATTTACTATTCCAAAATTAAAAATCAGGCACAACAGTTTAAAATTACAAAAATCAGGTTTTTCTTAAATTAATTAATTACATTTCATAATTATTATATTAAATTAAATATTTAACTGTAATATAATAAAATCACCCCACCACACCCCACTTACACCACCACCATTGCTCCGGCTACTACCCGGCGATCGGTGACTGCTCCGATCCGACGACTTTTTCGAGGTCACATATCAAGAAATTTGTAGGTCACGGGTTATTTCGAGGTCACAGATAAAAAAATTTGTAGATCGCAGATTATTTCGAGGTCACAGATTTAAAATTTTATAGGTCACAGATTATTTCAAGATCACAGATGAAAAAAATTAAGGTCGCAGATTCCTTTTTTAAGTTACAAATTATCAATTTCAAAGCCACAAGTCAATAGTAAGGTCACAGACACCAAAAAGAACCACAATAGCTAGGTCACAGTCACCTAAACACCCTTCCCCCATCACAGATTGAAAAAAATCAAAACGTTTACTTGTCGCAACTCGTCACAGTTACAATTCCTAGATCACAGACACCCATCTAGGTCACAGACACCCACGATCGCCGTCGCCACCACAGTCGACCCGTCACAACAACACACAACCATCGCCACAACCGTTCTAATACCACCAAAACGTAAAAATAATCACCACCACTCCAACAACCAAAAAAAACCCCAACCACCACCACAGCCAGATCCCAACCACCACCAAAATATTAAATTAGATCCACAAAACCTGTGGAGAGAACAACCACCCCCAAAATATCATTGTCACGAGCCAGCGAAACAAGCGAAGCAGCAGCATCAGAGCGTTCTTCTAACGAACCCGAACACAAAATCGCAATCTGTTCCCAAATCAAGCATAAAATCGGCTCGTTTGCCGCGATCGGTGGCAGCCCGAGATACTCATCGTCGCGATCGTCAGCCGGGGTCGAGACTCGAAGAAGCCACGAAACATCACCAATGGAATTTTCTAATTGTTGAGAGGTTTTTCTGAATGCTGCTGTGGGGAT